CCTGGTTGGAGCTATTCTCAATTTGGAGTCTCGTTCCAGTAAGTCAGTCTCTCCCTCCCCCCCCCCCCCCTCTCTCTCTCAAGTATAAGTCAGTTGTCTTTTTGACATTGAGCCATCCAAAGACGTATTAATGGAAGTGGAGAGACAAATTCTGGAAAAGATAGTCTATTAAGTTTGGCAACTTTTCAGATGTGAGACTTAGTTTGTGGACATGCAGAAAAGGTGGTGGTCCCTTGGCACTGGCATGTGCTCATTCAGCCCTGAATAAGTTTAATTCCTCCTCAAGCCGTGTCAAACTGCACACCTTTCTGTGAGACAACAACTGGGACGTGGACTTGGAGATTGTTGTAGAGAATGTGCCTGGATCTTAGCAGCACGTCCGAGAGTCCTATCATTCACGTCTTACAGGCCAGCAGAGAAACGTGGGCTAGCTAACAGTGTGGTGGACTAACATCCCATCATCACTTTAAGAGATGTTATTATTTATATTTTAAATATACTTGTATTGATTTCAGAGAGAGGTAGAAACATCAATGATGAGAGAGAATCCCCCACTGGGCATCGAGCCAGCAACCTGGGCATGTGCCCTTGACCAGAATCAAACCTGGGACCCTTCGGTCCACAGGCTGATGCTCTATCCACTGAGTCAAACCAGCTGTGGCACCTTAAGAGACTTTAATTTATATAACAAGGAATGTATTTTCATATAACATGATCCTTTAAGTCAAGCTGACTACATCAGGTGTTCAACCAAAAGAACGGTCTGTTCTAATGCTCTGTGATAAATGTTATGGGAGATAAGGAAGTAGCAAAATTCCTTACCCGATTTTCACTTTCCTGACTCTGGGACCTATAGTCAAGTTGACTTAGAGCAGTTGAACATCTAAATACAATTGATTGGTTATTTTCTGACCTGGAATGAAAGTCTAGAAGTTATATTGGATGAGGACAAAAAAAAGTCATAAATCCTGCTTGTCACATGTGTAATGAAAGCTGGGACATCCAGCTACACATTGCTTGAAAAGGAGGACTCTAAAAAGAAAACAGATAGCAAAGATGGCCAAAAGGAACATGAGAACATGCCACTATAGTCAGAGTTCAGTGCCTGGGTTTAAAAAAAAAAAAATCAACAGTTCAAGGGCACTATGGAAGAGTTAACATGACTGCAGCTTCTATATACAGAACTCAGTTTTTAGTTGATTGTTGACGCAAATCAACAAGGTGAGGGGAAAGCATCCAGAACAAAGGTGGACAGTGGGAGACCATGCCCAGTCGTTTGTGTTCAGTATCCGGTGTCTCCAGGACTGGGCAAGGATGCTGAGGGGTTGCAGACTCCTGCTATAGGAGGAACAGCTCAGAACCCACGCTGTTCTTTTTAGCTGAGAAAAGACTTTTATAACGTACAATAGATATCTTGAAATACTCAAAGGGGTGTCACACAGAGGAGGAATTAAACTTGTTCAGAGTTGTTCCAGTGCTAAATAAGAACCAATGTATGGGAGAAGCTAGCGGGAGGTGGATTCAACCCAGAATAAGACAGCTTTAATGATGAGAGCTGTCCAAATATGGAACAGACTGCTTTTTGCAATCTCCATTGCTTTACAGGAGGGCTTTAAAGGGTTGGGAAGTTGGCTCTGGTCTCTTTCGCAAAGTCACTCTTCATACTAGGCCTTTTCTGTGTGTGTGTGTGTGTGTGTGTGTGTGTGTGTGTGTGTGTGTTTGTGTGCCTAGCTTTTCAACTAGGCTGCTTCTTGCCAACTAATGTCCTCCTTTACCAACTCCTTTGAGGTACTTGGATCAAGTCATGCATCTTTCTGAATCAGTTTCTTTTTCCTCTCCCTGTCCTCAATTAATAGAATGTAATTGCAGCCCTGGATGGTTTGGCCCAGTGGATAGAGCATCAGCCTGCAGACTGAAGGGTCTCAGGTTCGATTCCCCCCAAAAGCTCATGCCTGGGTTGTGGGCTCCATCCCCAGTGGGGGGCATGCAGAAGGTAGCTGATCAGTGAATCTCTCTCATCATTGATGTTTCTCTATATATATTCCTCTCCCTCTCTAACATCAATAAAATATATAAAATTTAAAAAAAGAATGTATAATAATTGCAATCCTTGATAAAAAATGGAGTATTTCTAAAAACCTATTCTTTCATGTTAATAAACATGTCATTCATGAAATAAATTGAGCATCTATTTCTATGTAAGTAACTAGATCTTTCTGCTTTTCAGAGGCTGGGTTTATGCTCAATTTTGGCATAACCTATGAAGGTTAATCAGATTTTGAACAAAGACAGATCTAGAGAGCATTTTTCTCAGAAGAAAGTAATGTGTATGTTCACATTGGTAACAGCACATCATCATCACCCTCCTTGACTATTCTTTGCAATATCTATTTATTGGAGGTTGGAATACTCCCTTAAACTGAAAAGTGGGATTTTAGCCTGAGGTTGCCCCTTTCTATATCACATACCAATTATATCAATAAGTGATCAGCATATACCAGGGATTGTACTGCGTCCTGAGGTTGGACAAGATGGACAAGCCCCTGTTCTCACAAAACTTATATCCTTGTAGGGGGAGGCAGGCTGATAAACAAAAATATATAAAAGGGGAAGAAAACAAAACAATAATGTGATAACAATGGACCAGGGAGGGTAGCCACTTTCATCAGCCAAGACACCTCTGAGGTGGCATGCAAGCTGAGATCTGAATGAAATGGGACCAGGCACTTGAAGATATGAGGAAGAGCATTCCGTACAAAAGCGAAGTCGGAAACTCCTTGAAGCTCATACACCAAAGATGCTTAGCCAAAGGCCCAATTTCCAGGCTGAGAAAGGTTTACCACCTTCCTACCTGCAGTTCTTCCATTGGTGCTGAAATGGATGAGAAGAGGCAGGAGAACTGGTAAGAAAAGGTGTAGGTAGAACTGATCTTGAAGGGAAAAGAACCACAAACCCTCCATTACCACACACACCCCCCCTCCCCCCATGCAGTTACTGTCCCTCCGGGAGGGAGACTACAATCCTGTGACCTAACCAATTTCCACCTCGCTTCTCTTAGTGCATTGCCCTACGCTAGACTTTTGTTTGTTTCATGTAGGGTTCTGTTGGTCCTTGTCCAAGTATCAATCAAAACTGCATGCCAGCCTCCTCCACTCCTTGGAAATAATTAAATGACGTGCCTGATTTTTTTCAGCTGGGTAATGCACTGTGATTTGCATCTATTGAAGGCATTTATCTTAAGCCCTGGACCGAGTCATCTGAGACAACTGAGGGGGTTTTTGCTCCTATGGATAAAACACTACTGCCAGACACAAAAGTGGACTAAACGCCTCATTCTGCGACACACTCCCTTAAGAAAGCTGTTCTTTGTGATGCCAATAAGTTCATCCTTTGTCGATGAATTCAACTGCCAAGGTCCCTAACTTCTTTAGGTCCCTAAAGGTAGTCTAACTTCTTTATGTTGCAAAAGTCCCTTTATCTCGCTGTTACCAAGGTTTTGTAGAGATTTCAGGTGCTTAAGAATAGACTTTGAAGTAAAGTCGCCCTTTCGCCTATTGGAGAAAGTGGGAGTCTAGAACACTGCCTGTTTTAAACGCCCAAGAGAAGCAAGCACCTATAGTACAAATCTCGCTGTTATTTAGCAGCATAACGTGTGTCTTCTATGCAGGCGTGCATCAAAGGCCATGCCGGCTATTAAAAAATAAAATAAAACCTCCACCCGCCCCCGTCCCCGTGGGATTCCCTCAATCAGGGCACAGAGCCCGCTGGGGAAGGGCTCTTTGCGAGCGGTGGAGCCCTCGGCTGGGGACCTTGGGTGCGGTGTTCCCGAGGTGACAGATGAGAGATCTGGGCCGCGAGGGAAGTGCACTGCGGCATTCCTCCCCTCGGCTCCGGAGGCAGGGCTCCGAGGGAGGCATCAGGGCGCATGGTGCAGCCCTGGCGGTGAAGGGCGAGGGGACGAGCCAAGGACACCATCCCAAGCGCGCTTCGGGCGCGGACCGAGTTCCCGGGTTCCCCGGCCACCACCCGGCACGAGGCCGACCCCGAAGGGCGAGCAGCTCCCTCGGGGAGGCGAGTGTAGGGAGCCCACCGTGAGCCCCCCATCATCCTGGGTTCTAGCACTTTGGGTGGATGGAGACGGAGCGGCAGCCTGTGGAGACCGGAGCCCGCCCGCGGGCCACGGTGCAGGCGCGGCGCGCGGCGGCCTGGATCCGGGTTCCTGGGGGCGGGGCGCGGAGGGGGCGGGGCTTGCGTGGCGGCGTGGGCGCGAGTCGCGCCGGAGGGAGGGAGCCGGGGAGAGGGGCGGGGCCGCGCCGCGCCGCCCGCGCCGCGCTGGGCCCTCTCAGCCAATGAGCGGCGTCCACATGCCGCGGCGGCAGCGAGAGGGGAGGCAGCGGCGGATAAATGCTATTAGAGCAGCCGCCGCGGAGCCGTCCCCGACGCCACCTCCTTCGCCGCCGCCGCCGCCGCCGCAGTTTCCTCCGCCGCTGTCGGGGGTGCGGAGCTGAGGACACAGGGCGAGCGCGCTGCGCACCACCGCGTCGGCTCGCCGCCCTCGGTCCGTGCCGCGCTCAGGGGTCGGCCAGGCGCCCCCTCCTCCGCTCCGGGCGGGGCCTCAAGTCACCTCAGGAGAGCCGGGAGGGGGCTCGGGGGCCGCGGCCTGCGCTCCGGGCGGGCGGTTGAGGGCGAGGGAGGCCCTCTCTTCTGAGGAGGAGGGGGAGGGCCGCCAGGCCCCCGCCGCCCAGCCGAGCCCGCCGCGGGCGCCGCCGGCAGGCCGGGCAGCCGAAGGGGCGGGCGCCCGCGGGAGGGGTGCGGGGTGATTCAGCGCCCCGCGAGGCGGAAGCGGCCGGAGGAAGAGGAGGAGGAGGAGGCGGCGGAGGGAGAGACGCCAGTCCGCGCCTGGGCGCCCGGGGTGGCACGAGGCCGCGGTCCGAGTGCGAGGCGGAGGCGAGGAGGCCGCGGGGACAGGAGGAGGCCAGGCCGGCCGGGCCCCCGCAGCCATGGAGAACGCGCACACAAAGACGGTGGAGGAGGTGCTGGCTCACTTCGGGGTCAACGAGAGCACGGGGCTGAGCCTGGAGCAGGTCAAGAAGCTCAAGGAGAGATGGGGCTCCAACGGTAAGGTGGCCGGGGCTGCTGCACGGGCCCCGCGCGGCCGGGCGCGGGCCCGAGCGCCAGGGAAAATGGCTGACGGGGCCCCACCTCGTGGGTCTCGGCTCCGCGCCCGCCGAGGGTGCAGGCGGCGGCGGCGGCGGCTCGGGCCCGCGCCCGGCACGAGGGGGAGAAGGGCTGCAGGTGGGGAGCGCGGGGGTCGAACCTGCGCCTCCTTCGACCTCCCGGCGGCCCGAGCCCTTGACCTTCCCGCACGCAGCGGCCGGCCCGGCGCAGGGAAGGACGAGTCAGTCCCCCGCAGCTGGGCTGAGCCCTGCGAGACGTGTTCTCGCTCCCAGCCGGCGGGTGAGGCGTCGTGCCCCTGACCGATCTGGTACTACTACCCAGAGCTCCACATCTGGCAGGAGTGATGACATAGCCGACATGACTCCTTGTTTCAGGAGTCCTTGCTTAGGTTGGGGATGAGATTTTACTTAGAGCAAGTATTGCATGTTTTACTATGGTTTCCGTGGTAAAATGGTCGAGTGGACCTATATCGAGGTACATCTTTCAAAAAGGGGTCGTTTTTGAGCAATTTTTCTTTGAAAAAGACAAGGCTAACATGTTTTTGCTGTTTTCCTCCCCTCTTCTGGAATCGTTGCCTGGCGAATGTCTACATTTCTACAGAGTTACCGGCTGAAGAAGGTAAAGTAACCTTAACATGTTCTTCCCCCCCCCCCCCTCCTTTGTGTGCTGATGTTGAGATGACATTTACAACCAATGTGGTGTTTGTTTCTAACAGGAAAAACCCTGCTGGAACTTGTGATTGAGCAGTTTGAAGACTTACTAGTTAGAATTTTATTGCTGGCAGCGTGTATATCTTTTGTAAGTATAAAGCAATTTGTTTTCTCGCTAAAATGTTGAGACTATCTCCTAAATGAAAAAAAACGGGAAATAAATGATGTCTCTTGGGTGAGAACATTATATTATTTGGAGGTTTAAGCAGTATATTCATGAATTGTTTTTAATCCTCGGTATTTTTAAATTACAAGCAAAGCAATTCGAAGCCATTTGTAAACAGAAAATAGATGCCTAGCATTTACAGTGCAGTTAGAAATTATCCTCGAATGTGGCAGGGTCTCATACATTCTTGTGACTTATCAGCTTTTAATATCAAAAAGTTCTTTCTTGGAAGGCCTTTTGTGTTTGGGGCTCTTCCATTGTGTAAGGTCGTACTGAGATGATGTTGGGCTCTTTATAGTCTGTAAATAGAACTTAAAAAAGGAATATACCAGTTGCTCTCCCGTCCTGGTAATGGCAAGGTGACAGTTGTTACTGACAGTGACAAGAATGATGACGGCAGTGATGGCACCACTGTTGACCAAATTTGGTCACTGACCTTTAGGGTGGCATATTTATCTAAATTGGACCCTTGTCTTGAGTGACTCCTAGGTTAAGAGAACAGTGTTCAGTACAGTTGGTTCTCGATTTTAAAAGGGGAAAAAAAAGAACCAGAGTGTTTTTTCTTGTTCTGCATGTGCTTGAGTCCTGTATGGTTGCTAAGAAACTGGTGAAATGCAAAGGACTACAGCAGAAGAAAGGTGATGGGGGTCGGTGAGGATATTTCTAGTTTATTAATACTTTTTTCTGTTCAGTATTAATTTTTTATTGAACAGTGGACTTCTTGATAGTTTTCCTAAAAATGGTCATGAATAGGACACAGATGTTCCTAATCCTAACAGCCTTAGATGCTTTTTGTCCTTGACTTATTTTGTTCTTACAAAGGCTATGATGGGAAGTGAAATTCACCCAATCTTTGAAAAATTGACACAGCTTCAGGATTTCATTTTTGTATGTTTGTATGTATGCCAGCCCCAGAGATCTACCTTAGTCTTTATGACAACCATACCATAGCGGGCTATTTTAGGAACGAAAGAAAATAGTGGGCATTAATTTAGATGAAGGGGGAGAATTGGAAAGAGATAAACTTTTAAAATATATTTTTATTGATTTCAGAGAGGAGAAACAAAAAGATCAATGAGAGAGAATCATTGATTGGCTGCGTTCTGCATATCCCCTACTGGGGATCAAGCTCACATCTATGACCTGGTTCATAGGTCCATGTTCAACCACCGAGCCATGCCAGCTGGCTGATTTTTATTTTATTTATTTATTTTTATTTTATTTATTTTTTTGAGTAATTCTGTGCACAAATTCTGCCATTGAGACTTTAATAATAATTTACCATGCCACGTTAACTAAGTGATGTGTAACCATTAATCAGACCTCTTCTCAGTGATTTTCACTAAATGAAATGAAGAGTGATATATCAAACCATTTAACATCCTGAGTTAATAATCTAGACCTATTACATGCCCATTCTTCATTTAGCCCCTGAAACCCCCCTCCAAATGGCTGCTGCTTTAACCAGCGAAGATAAAAGAATAGATTTGTTTAACTAGTTTTAATATATTGTCATGGGGCAAAAAATTATATATTTGGGCCAGTGTAATATTTATATTTAAGTTGGCTGGCTACGTAATTCTGAGATAGTCTCAGCTTTGTTAGTTAAAATACTAGGGTTCAGTAAGGCCATTAGGGACCTCTTAGAAGTTAACTGGTGCATACAAGCCAGAGATAAAATAAATTTCTGTTGAGTTATTCTGTGTATATAACTTAAAGCAGTTATAACATCAATGGCATTATTTCCAATAAGGGAGCTATTGACTATTTGGGTTGTATAGGCTCTCTTGATTGGCCAATTTGAGTGACTATTAACATTTTTTAATGTGTGTGATGTTTGTTTTGAAGTATGTAGTTTATAGTTCCTAGGCATTTTCAAATGGGTTTTTAAGTAAATGCTTTAACTTTGTTGTAATGTAGGATATTGGGTTTTTTGTAGCTTGTAGAGTTGTGTTTTGAAATTGAGATTTGAGTTACTTTTGGGTAACTACTTGGAGTTACTGTTTAGGAAATGGACTATGTTACATTTTTGTTGTATGGGTTGCTACACAGAAAAGTGCTGTGTTTAGAAGGACTGTTAACTTGCTTTGATTAAGAAATTGCAGATAGAAAACCTGTTTGTTGATTTTCTTTAGGTGCAGTTGGCACTACTGCTTCATCGAACTTGACCTTTTCATTTCACATTTATCACTCAAAAGAGCTTTGTGATTGTCAGTTTATTTCTACTTAATGGAAAAAACTGGAAGGATATTTGTGTTCTTTTGGAGAAATGAATAGGTAGTTCTATATATATGATGATCAGGTTCCACTCAAGTTAAAAAGAAATATTAGACTTTAGTGATTTATTTCAAATATCAAACTAGATAGTAAACTGTTAACCATAGTTAATATTTTGCTGTGGCAGAAAGTAGGAAACTATTAATGTTTTACACTTGTAACCTGAAGAGATAGTTTAATTAGCTTCTAATTCATCAAAGTAGTTTATTTTAAAGGTCACTTAGAGTGAAAGAAGTGAGTGATATATCCTCCATTGCATATGAAATAACATCAGAAATTCTATAATTAAAAATAATTATTATTATTTTAATTGGAGAGAAAGGAGCATAGATTTGCTATTTCACTGATTTATATATTCATGAATCTATTGGACTGTGATAGTGCTGTGAAGAAAAATTGAGTGGTGGGGGCAGAAGAAGAAGGAAATATGCAGAGGGGTGTATAATTTTCAAGTAGGGTGGTCATGAGAGGCCTCTAAGAAGGTGGTGTTTGAGAAATACCTGAAGGAAGTGAGCGTGAGGGCCATGTATTTCTCATCTGTCTGAATCATAAAGTCCTCCATAGCAACACAATTTGCATAAGTGGTACTACCTTCCACCTCCATTTCCCCACCTCAGCTACTTAGATCAACCCTAAAATGCTAGTAGAACTTTCTTAGGCCAAGGCATTTCTCAACTTTTCACTTACATTTCAATAATTGTCTTTTACCCTACTGGACCCTTTAAATGGATTCTTTTTTTCTTTTTTCTTTTTTTTTTTTCAGGGAGAGATAGGTAGAAACATCAATGATGAGAATCATTGATTGGCTATCTCCTGCACACCCCACATTGGGGATCTAGCCTGCAACCTGGGCATGTCCCCTGACTGGGAATTGAACTGTAACCTCCTGGTTCATAGGGCGGCACTCAAACACTGTGCTATTGCCAGCTGGGCTAAAGGGATTCTTAATTCCCTTTAGAGCCTAGATTATTGCATTTGCTATAACTAACATGTATTTGGATGAGTTAGTGTTGGTAGCATTTTCAAAATATGTGAGATCCTTATACTTTGGTTTTCTCCGAACTATATTTAAGAAGTGTTTGAGCCCAAACCGTTTTGGCTCAATGGATAGAGCATCGGTCTGTGGACTGAAAGGTCCTGGGTTCGATTGCGGTCAAGGCATATACCTTGGTTGTGGGCACATCCCCGATGGGGGGTGTGCAAGAGGCAGCTGGTCGATGTTTTTCATCGATGTTTCTAGTTCTCTATCCCTCTCCTTTCCTCTCTGTAAAAAATCAATAAAATATATATTATTTTTAAAAAAGAAGTGTTTGAGCGTGGCCGGCATGGCTCTGTGGTTGAGCATTGGCCTGTGAACCCGGAGATCACAGTTTAATTCCCAGTTGGGGCACATGCCTGGGTTGCGGGCTCAATACCCAATGTGAGGCGTTGTTTTCTTTTAATTTCTTATTTTTAAAAAGGTAAAATGAGCAGTTTACTGACTGGTTTAACTAATATATTAAAAACCTTTCAAATATGGTTTGAAAGGTGAATATGTATGTGTGATTTTATGCTGTTTTGAAGATTATAGTCTCAAATCTGAAAACATTGAGTGTTTTCGCAAGGTTTGTCGGCATTGAAAGAGAATGTAATCTAATTTATACCTTTTTTTAAAATCTTAAAATTGATTTTTACTAAATATAGGACTTTTTGTAATTTAGGTAGATTTGGTAACTATTCACACAACATATGTGTTCTGAAATACATTAAAGGGATTTTTCTTAGGAATTAAAAAAATCTTTAGCTTTTAAGTCTTCAAGAAGATTTGAACAGTGTTGTGTGTGTTTTTATTGATTTCGGAGAGAAAGGGAGAGAGAGAGAGAATCATCAATGCTAAGAGAATCATTTGGCTCTCTAGAGGTTATTGTGTTACACAAACATCAGTCTTATAGATAGCAATTAAAAGATACCATCTTACCCAATTTAAGCAGTTTACATTGTAGCTGAATGTTCATTAGCAAGTGGTTACTTTGAATAGGATTAGCAAGTTTGGAAATTGAACTTGCTGGGTAATGTTTCTGTATTTAAACAGTGCAAAGCAAAGGGAACAAGAAACTCTTTATGCCTAAAATTATACTGCAATAGCCTTTTCTTCCACTTTTCTTTGATGCTGTTGAAGTTGGTTATCTTTTTGCTCTTAATGTTTAAGTTCATACACTGCCACTTAAGAGTCTTAGTAGTATACTTTAGAGATTGTATGAAGTTTTATTTCATCCATTTGTGCATCTATTTAATAAGTATATAGTGAGCATCAACTGTGTATGAGATATTTTAGGCCCCTGGGGATACAACAGGGAACAAAAGGCAATACAAACAGATAATTTTTTATGTTTAACATATTCTCTCTCTCCTTTAAATATATATTTTTTATTGATTTCAGAGAGAAAGGGAGAAGTGAGAGATAGAAATATCAATATTGAGAGATAATCATTCATCTGCCTCTTGAACGCCTCCGACTGGGGTTCAAGCCCGCAACCCTGGCATGTTCCCTTGACCAGAATCGAACCCAGGATCCTTCAGTCCACAAGCCGACACTCTTTCCACTGAGCCAAGCTAGATAGCCAAGCTTAAAAAATTTATTGATTTCAGAGAGGATGGGAGAAGAAGAGAAATAAACAATTCAGTGAGAGAGAGCATTGATCAGCTCTCTCCTGCACGCCCCCCTACTGAGGATTGAGCCCGCAACTCAAGCATGTGCCCTGAACTGGGAGTAGAACTGTGACCTCCTGGTTCTCAGGTCAAGGCTTAACCCACTGAGCCACATCAACCAGGCTAATCTATTCTCAATAATTTCCCTAAACATTTCCCCCTCCCTCCTATATAAGTATATTTTTTATAACTTCTGGAAAAATCATAATGAACTGGTTGTACTATTATACTAATGAGGCATCTTGCATTTCAATACTGTGTCACTCATCCAATTTCTCCTTTTCTCTACCTTTTTCCTCATATTATGGAGTCTTATTTGTCAGGATCACTTACACAAGAGAGGTTTTCTTCAATAGAACAAAACCATGAAGAATTGCACAATGTGATTTGGACATGATAGACTGTATTGATTCTTACCAGTTAATGAAATACAGTTCAGTCTGAACTGGTTTGGCTTAGTGGATAGAGCATCAGCCTGCAGACTTAAGGGTCCCAGGTTCGATTCTGGTCAAGGGCATGTACCTTGGTTGCATGTACATCCCCAGTAGGGAGTGTACAAGTGGCAGCTGATTGATGTTTCTCTCTCATCAATGTTTCTAACTCCTCTCCCCTCCTCTCTGTAAAAAATCAATACAATATATATTTAAAAAAAGAAAAAAGAAATACAGTTCATTTTCATTTTGGACTGTGGCATTTAATTCTTTGGGTTATTTGTGGTTTTAAAATAGGCATTTTCAAAGTACTCAGGCAATTGTTGGTTATCCGTTTTTAACATCAGCACCATCCTTCTACCCTACGATTTATTTGCCCGCTAGTTTCTTATCAAGCAGTAATTAGTATATCTGCAGAACTTTTAAATAACTAACTGCTTGTGTTTCTTACACATAAACATTTAAAGTGATATGGTGGAAGGAAAGACAACTTCACTGTTCAGGTTAGGATCATTATATTATAGATGAATACCACTTGTGCAGAGAAACTATACATTTCTTGAAAAGTGGAGGTTTGCTCTGATCTGTCACTGCTCGCCTTATTCTATTCCTTTCTCCAGCTGTTATGGGATATTGCTCTAAGTTTGTTCCTCTGGGCCTAGCTGCCAAGAGGGAAATTCATATCTGCTTTAACAAGGTGTGAAGCTTATCTTACACTTGCTAATGCTTCGCTGACCTTTGGAAAGGTCCTAGCTACTCTTCAAGTTAAACAGTTTTTCTCCCCCAAGAGCTAATTAAGTTTCTTATTTCTCATATACTGTCCTTGGCAAATGTTTGGAAAGCTAGTATTAAAGCAGCTGTGATCTTGCATCTATCAAAATTTACGACTTCCTAGAGAAGATTTCACTTTGGCATTAGGCCTGGCTTTAACACCAGGAATGTCCTGTTGAAAGCTTACAGCAACATTTATAATTATTCTGGTTTTCTTCCTGCCCTGGTTCACTAGCTGTCAGTTGTGATTGAAATCTACCTGGTCCTGGTGTCTACTGCTTTTTTCCCTGCCCAAATTGGTATTTCTTGTTAATTCGTCATTACCCTCTTTTACTTGGCAAAATTCATGTTGGCTCTTGCCTTAGTCATCTTTCTGATAATTAGCTATTTGTATAAAACCTTACTTTATAGTATTCCACTAAGTACATAGTCCAATGGCTTTATTATTACCCTAAATGATATCTGACAATATTACAAGTATCAAAAATTGTGCTTTTATTATTTACTAATCTTTTAAAGAAAAGATTTTGTGAAATATGGGAACATTTTAAGCAGTTTTAAAAAACATAGATAAACCTTAACTAACAGATTGGATCATTAGATATGTTTAATATTTTTCCTGGATTGGCAATTTTTCACAGAAATATCTTGTTAAATTTTTAATACTTTTATTTTTAAAAATATATTTTTATTGGTTTCAGAGAGGGAGAGGGAGAAAGAGATAAAAATATCAATGATGAGAGAGAATCACTGATCAGCTGCCTCCTGCATGCTCCCTACTAGGGATGAGCCCACATACGCCCTGACTGGCACCACCTGGTTTATAGGTCGATGAGCAACACTGAGCCATACCAACTGGCCAAAAAATTTTAATAATATTCATAGTGGTGGATTCTCTCTCAATCACCTTGTGTTGCTCAACTATGAAGTATACCATAGCTCTCTTGTAGCTTTTAGACCTTAATAAAGTTATGGTTGTGTTAGCAAGGAATTAATTCTCTTCTAATTTTTCTTGGGGCAGTGTTCTGTGTCCAATTGTAATATTTTTAGACTTAAGTCATCCTTGAAATGCTATTCTGCTTACCAGATATCATATTAAGGGTAACCTTGAAAATATATTCCTGACTAGAGGCCTGGTGCATGAAATTCGTGCACAGGAGGGGAGGGTGTCCCTCAGCCCAGCCTGTACCCTCCAATATGGGACCCTCTCACAACCCAGGACTGCTGGCTCCCAACCACTCTCCTGCTTGATTGCCCCTAACCACTTCTACCTGCCAGCCTGATCGCCCCCTAACCACTCCCTGCCAGCCGGATTGCCCCCAACTGCCCTTCCCTGCAGGCCTGGTTCCCTCTCCCCCCAACTGCCCTCCTCTGCAGGTCCGGTTCCTCTCAGCTGTCTTCCCCTGCAGGCTTGGTTGCCCCTAACTGCATTCCCCTGCAGGCCTGATCGCCCCCTACTGCCCTCCCCTGCTGGCCATCTTGTGGCAGCCATCTTGTGTCCACATGGGGGTGGCTATCTTTGATCACAGGGGGGCAGCCATCTTGTGAGTTGGAGTGATGGTCAATTTGCATATCGCTCTTTTATTAGATAGGATTATGGGGCAGCCTTACAATAATTTTGACAACCTTCAGTAATACCAATGGGGGTAAAATTTGAGTCAGTGATCAAGTTATTTTTGTTATGAATTTATGCCACGGGTATTGTTTGACACTAGTAGCCTGGTGCAAGGATTTGTGCACATTGAAAGGAAATTAATTAGAAGAAAGATTTGTGCAGTAATTATGTTACTGTAAAAAGTTACATGTCAAACTAGTATATATATAATATAGTATTATAAAATTAAAATACAAAATATTTTAATATTGCTATTTGCCCTTTTTTTATAATAGACATGTGCAGTCAACGTTTATTTAAATTGCCAGTGCATGTCATATATACTAGTTGGACAGATGGTCGGTCGGTCACTTAGCCTTTTATGTATATATAGATGAATATTACCCAAATTAACAAAGTTGTTATTTGCCTTTAACAAAATTAAGAGTGTAAGTTTTTCTTCTGAATATCCTATATAATAAAAGTGTAGTATGCAATTTGTCCCCTCGACTGGTAGTTCATCCGAGAGTTCAATCAGGGTCGAGGCTGGCCTGGGGAAGGGAGAGAGGCCTTGGCCAGCAGCCAATAGCCACTAGGGACCCTTCCAGTGCACTGGGCCTCTAGTCTATATAATCTAGATAATAAAAGCCTAAGCGACCATTACAGCAGAAAGACCGGTCACTATGATGCGCACTGACCACCAGACAGCAGATGCTCAATGCAGGAGCTGCCCTCTGGTGGTCAGTGTGCTCCCACAGCGGGAGCACTGCTCAGCCAGAGCCGGCCTCACGGCTGGTGAGCGCAGCGATCTCTCCCGCCTCTGCAGCAGCACTGAGGAGCAGCAAGCAGGCAGGCGGTAAGGAGTGAGGGGCCCCGGACTGCAAGAGGGTGCAGACCAGGCTGAGGAGATTCTCCCTTTCCCCCCCATCAGTTTATGAATTTCATGCACCAGGCCTCTAGTATACATATAAAATAAATGGGTTTTTATTTGGATTTTAAAACAATTATTACGTGAAAAAAATAAATTAGCTCTTAATGTTAAGAAGTTGTATGCTGCCGAGACCGGTTTGGCTCAATGGATAGAGCGTCGGCTTGGGGACCGAAGGGACCCGGGTTCGATTCCAGTCAAGGGCATGTACCTTGGTTGCGGGCATATCCCCGGTAGGGGGTGTGCAAGAGGCAGCTGATTGATGACTCTCTCTCATCGATGTTTCTAGGTCTCTATCTCTCTCCCTTCCTCTCTGTACAAAATCAATAAAATATATTTAAAAAAAAAAAAAAAAGAGAAGTTGTATGCTTTCAATTCTCAAGAATTATTTCGAACAAGACATAGCTGTCTTTTATGTCATTATATTTCACCACTATTGATTTCTAGGGATGAAAAGAGATTTTGTGTGTTTTGTTTTTTTAAAATATATTTTTATTGATTTTTTTTACAGAGAGGAAGGGAGAGAGATAGAGAGCTAGAAACATCGATGAGAGAGAAACATCGACCAGCTGTCTCTTGCACACCCCCTAATGGGGATGTGCCCGCAACCAATGTACATGCCCTTGACCAGAATTGAACCTGGAATCTTTCAGTCCGCAGACCGATGCTCTACCACTGAGCCAAACTGGTTTCGGCAGATTTTGTGTGTTATAATTCCTTTAGTGCCAGCCACTTTTCTTATAAAGTGGCACTAAGCCTAAAAACACATTACAATTCTAACACATCACATGTGATTTCTCTTTCAGGTTTTGGCTTGGTTTGAAGAAGGTGAAGAAACAATTACAGCCTTTGTAGAACCCTTTGTAATTTTACTTATATTAGTAGCCAATGCCATTGTGGGTGTCTGGCAGGTAAGCACAAAATTCTGCACTACTAAGTTTTAGAAATTTCTGTGACTTACTCTGTTAATCTTTCTGTTATCCGTTTTTTCCTGATGTATTGACTAAAAATACTCTGCAATGTCTACATGTGTTTTTGTTTGTTCATTGGTTTATTTAATGGCAAAGTTTTAGATCTTTCACAAATATATACTTTGCTCATGCTTATATGAATTGTCTTTCATGATAGCATGGAGTTACAATGGGTGAGAGAAGCTACTTACAGAGAGGAAGGGAGAGGGATAGAGAGAAACATCGATCTGTGAGAAAAATTGATCTGCTGCTTCTTACACACCCCTTCTGAAGATGTGCCCACAACCAAGGTACCTGCCCTTTGCTGGAATTGAACCTGGACCCTTCAGTCGACAATCCGACACTCGATCCACTGAGCTAGACTCGCTAGGGCAAAATTGTTTAAATCTTACATTGTTTTTCTTGCAGAGCATATTCCTGGCTGTTTTCAGCCTGTCACCTGAGCCTTTCTTATTCACAGAATGGAAGCTAATTTTATTTCAGAAACAAAATGGATTTTTTCTCTCACCCTCCCAACTCACAAAATTGTTCTTCTGCACATATATAGTTTGAGGACTTCAACTTTTATAGAACTGTTGATTTAAGTATTGCTCTTTTATGTTTTTTATGAATGTAGTCATCCCTTTGAAGACTAAATAAAACAGTGCATCTGTTATTAAAATGTCAACTTCTGCCCTAGCTGGTTTAGCTCAGTGGATAGAACATAGGCCCACAGACTGAAGGGCCTTAGATTCGATTCTGGCCAAAAGCATGTATCTCGATTGCAGGCTGGATCCCCAGCCCTGGTCATTTGTCAGAAGCAACCAAATTGATGTGTCTCTCTCATTGATGTTTCAGTCTGTTTCTTTCTCTCCCTTCCATTCTCTCTAAAAATCACAGCAACAAAAAAAGGGTAAACTTCTGTTTGTGTTAATAGACACGATGATCTTTATGTGTCAGGCTCATATAGAAAGATGGCCTACTTAGAAAATTTTAATTTTACTATATTCCTTACTTTGATCCCCCAAAACATTTATGTTTAAGCACAAATGATCTTCTTGTGAATAATTTAGGCAAAAGAAACAATACACAGCATTCGATTGTCTTTCTCAAGCTAGTAGCATGTATTTTTTAATTAATTTATTCCAGTTATATGGTAGATACTTTATGTACATTCCCATTTCATCCTTACAGTGAACTTGTAAGGCAGATGATACTCCCATTTGACAAATGTATCATTGAAGCTCATAGTGATTAAGTGACTTATTAAAGGCCATATAGGTAGTACATAAAGTATCTGAAATTTGAATCTGGACCCATGCTAATACGAACTCCAAAAAGTAAAATTTTACAGCGGTTTAAAAAATAACATTCTTATATCTTAACCCCATTTGCATATTATATAGAATAATATAGGCAATACTTGAGGGCTCTTACCTTCTGGAAATAAGGAAAGTTATAATTACAGATAAAATCCTATATAATAAAGGTATTATGCAAATTTACCATCACACACTCACACAAGATGGTCGTCCCCATGTGGTCACAAGCTGGTCGCTACAAGATGTTATGGTACAGGTGTGTGTGACTGGATGTGAGGTCTGTGTCTCAGCTGTGCTTAGGGACAGCAGAATCATTTTCTACGTTATGATTTTATTTCCTTTACCTTTAGGTATGATTTTATTTCCTTTACCTTTATTTTTTCATCTTTTTAAAAAATATATTTTTATTGATTTCAGAGAGGAAAGGACAGGGAGTGAGAGATAAAACATTAATGAGAAAATCATTGCCTGCCCCACTCAGGGATTTGAGCCCGAAACCCCACTGATGGGGAATCAAACTGTGACTTCCTGGTTCATAGGGTGAGCCTCATCGCTTTAATACAAACCCATAAGGGCCTAGCATTTGTCACTTTAAATGTGAATTGTTTACTACAACTGTCATTAGTGTACTTCTCTCGTGTGTTTTAAGTTTAGAACTCTACAAAATTTGATTCTCTGGGTTAGAAATGCTTGCAGTGGTAGGCATGTGTTCACTACCTTTATCTTTTCTCTTTTACAGGAAAGAAACGCAGAGAATGCAATCGAAGCCCTTAAGGAATATGAGCCTGAGATGGGTAAAGTGTACAGACAGGACAGGAAGAGCGTGCAGCGGATCAAAGCCAAAGACATAGTTCCTGGGGATATTGTAGAGATTGCTGGTGAGTTTATTTTTGTTTATATTCTAGATTGTATATCTGAATGCATTCTTTTTCTCAAGGCTCCTAGTTAAGTGTTTTAAAAATTATGATCATATTTACCAGTTTTAGCACCATGCAAACAAAAAGGTTTTCTATAAAATTTTGAAGTGTTTTGGCACTGCCCTTCATGTTATTGATATTTTTGAACAAGGTGTTTGAATTATTTGTGTTTATTACTTTTGATAACATTGTATCTCACTGGTGCTAGTGAGATAATTAACCTAATTTTGACTTGACAATTAGTGGTGCAGTTTGTTAGCATTCTAGTTTTGGCTACAGAGTTTTTTGTTTCTTGGCATATATGTTGTCATACCTGCAAGTTGATAGTTATGGGTAATTTCATGACTCTAAAACTTCTGATTAAAAATACTTTTCCATTTCACTGAGCCAGGGTTCTTAGCCTGGGCTGTGTATCCACTGCAAAGCCAGAGCTCTCCACAGATCTTAAAGGAGTCTGTTTCCTCATTGCTCTAGATCAGTGGTCGCCAACCTTTTGGACCTCATGAACCACCAGTGGTCTGCGGACCACCATTGGCGACTGCTGCTCCAAAAATTTTCCTTAAATCCGTGATTGCCAACCTTTCAGACCTCACGGACCACCAGTGGTCCATGGACACCACCAGCGGTCCACGGATGACCGATTGGTGACTGCAGTACCAGATCAGTGCCATGTTGTCAGACAGCCCTATGCATAGTAGTTCTTATACAGGAGGGCACATCAGAATCCTCTGAGGCACTCTTTAAAAATTTTTTTACCAGCTTCAACCCAAATTATTAACACCCGATCTACCATGGAATTATGATTAAGTATAGTTTGAAAAGTGGGCCTCAGATTTAGACCCAAAGCAACAGTTTTTGATAACTGAGTGGATATGGGCATAGAATGTAGAATCAAAGATATTGGCCAGATTTCTAGTTTAGGTGACTGGAGGGTACAGGTGTGTGTGACTGGATGTGAGGTCTGTGGTAGGCATGTGTTCACTACCTTTAGTAACTGAGGAAGGAAACACTGGAAGAAGATAGATTGTCTTTTTAAAATATATATGTTTTATGTGTGGTTGCAGATATCATTGCCTAAATACTTGTACAGGATTCTGTCTTAGTATGTTTTCTATTTCTCCAGCTTAATCTGGTAATACACTCTTCAGCCTTTCAAGTTAAGAATATTTAAGAATTTTTATGGCAGTTAGAGGATTTCAGTGTAGTGAGTCTATTTGAAAACTTAGAGAAATTACTCCCAAAGCATCTATCTTTACTTTGCATCAGTAGATGGTAGTGGTAAAGAGCATCAGGGGAAAGTGTAACCTTGATCCTCAAGCCAACTTCCCTTTCGAAGAAATAAGCAAGGCCAGCTTCTATTAAACAGTGATAATTCAAATATTTCTTTCCCATCTCAGTCATTCTAACCACCTAGCTAGCTGAGAGAAACTTAGGATTCATCTTGAGTCTTTTCTCTTACTCTGTCTCTAAGGCAAGTTGATTTTGTCTCCAAAACACACCCCAATTTATTAACTTCTGTTTCCTCAGTCTCACACTGACATTGCCATTGTGTTCTAACTTGGCTCCGGCTTCCTTTGTTGTTTTTCAGTCAGTCCTCCACACAGAAGCCAGAGTGGTTTTCTAAAGGTCATGTTATTTATTAACCTGCTAAACCTTCCAGTGGCTTCCTATTGCACCTCCAATACAAAATTCTTTTATCTAAAAGACCATGCATTGTGTAACTCCTGCTTGCTTCCATGGTTTCATCTTAATGCCACTCCCTGTGCATTAACCACTATATAGGCTTCTTATTTGATTTTCAATACCACCAGACTTTTCTGGCCTTTTGGGGGAGGGTAGGCAAATTTTGTATAATGTATTAATGTGCCCAATATACAGATCTCACAGTGGTAAAGCTTGATGGTTACCCTGGTCTACCTGATTTTTGTTGTCCACTGTGAAATTCCATTCCCTATGCATAGTGTTCGTATTTGTGACCTAAGATATCCATCTAGGTATACCTTATTTTGTTTATACTGTGGTAAAATATACATAGTAAAAATTGTCTTTTTAACCATCTTTAAGTATACCAGTTACATGGCATTAAATAAATCCACATTATTGTGCAGCCATCATTGTCATTCATCTCCAGAATTTTCTCAACTTCCCAAACTGCAACTCTGTCCCCGTTAAACAGTAATTTCACTTTACCAATTTCCTTCAGCTTCTGGCAACCACTCACTTTCTTTTTATATCCTCTTTTTTTTTAAGATATATTTTATTGATTTTTTTACAGAGAGGAAGGGAGAAGGATAGAGAACTAGAAACGTCGATGAGAGAGAAACATCGACCAGCTGCCTCCTGTACACTCCCCACCAGGGATGTGCCCGCAACCAATGTACATGCTCCTGACCGGACTCGAACCTGGGACCTTTTAGTCCACTGAGCCAAACCAGTTTCGGCATCACTTTTTTTTTTTTTTTATACATAAAACCAGAGAGCTTAATATTGAAAGATGAGTTTCTATCCCTTATATAAAGTGATTATATTTACTACAAAGTACAAATTGGCAATTACAAAATAGTCACGATGTAAGGTATAGCATAAGGGATACACTGTTGTTTTCAAGTACACAAGTCTTGTATTTCTTTTTGTTACGTTTTTTCCTAAGTATTTTGTTGTGTGTTTGGGGGGGGGGGAGGCTTTTTGTAATTGGATTTGTTTTTTATTTTCATTTTCAAATTATTCTTTGCTAGTACACAGAAGACAATTATTTTTTTTTAATATTAATCTTATATTATACCTTGCAATCTTGCCTTGACTCTTACTAGTTTTAATAGCTTTTCGGGGATTCCTTAAGATTTTCTATATAGAAGTTCATGTCATGTGCAAACATTTTTTATATCTTTCCAATCAGGATGCCTTTTCTTTCTTTTTCTTGTCTAAGTACCCTCACTAAAATCTCCAGTAGAATCCTATTTAACAAAAGCCTAATATGCTAAGCGTCTGACTGTTCGTTCGACCAGTTGCTATGATGTGCACTGGGGGGCAGACATCCGACCAGGACTGAGTGAGACAGCCCCCATCACCCGATCGGGACTGGGTGAGATGGTCCTGACACGCCCTGGAAGAATCCATGCTCTGGGCCTCTAATGTTGAATGAAAGTGGCAAGAGTGGACATCCTTGTCTTGTTCCTGATCGTAGGGAGAAGCATTCAGTCTTGTACCACGAAGTGTGGGTTTCATTTATCATGTTGAAGAAACCTGGTCATAATTTTAATTTTTAGGTTGTCAGTGTACTCTTTATTTGGTCTGCTTTGGTGATGTTTTGTAGTGACTGTATATTTATAACCAAATTAAAAATGAGTTTTGCTGGATTAGTAGGCCTGGTGGATCATTGAATTGGGTAAAATTCCCAACCCTAAGGTACTTACAGTGAATTATATGGAATATTTTGGAAAAACATATTGTGAGGTGTTTATTTTATGAAGACTTTAAGACTATATATGTTGGGGGTTTTTAACTCCCATTTTTCTTAGGATTTACTAATTTGGCATCTAACTGACTACAATTTGGCATTTAGCTCTATAATTCAGTTCTGTGAAACTATAGAAATGAACTTCAATTCTAAATGTAGATCTAAATTGTTTCTTATCAGTCTTACTCTACATAGCCTGGATAAGTAGTAGCTTGAATTGTGCTTTTAGACATGGTAACTTTTATTTAAATTATGAAATTAAGTGTGGCTTGTTCTCTGTGATGGATTGAAACACTGGAGAATATTGTGAACTGTTTTGAAGATGAAAGCAAGTTTGGAGCTGCTATTTTAATACTTTCAGAAAGAAGTCTTTTTATGTTAATTTTTGGATGTAAGGGTCATCTCCTAACTTTAGGTAATAAAGTTCTTTTTGCAAGCTTTAGGAAGACATGATAAAATGGTTCTGGGTTCTGCTGAACTTTCTGAAGGCTAGACTGGACTAAGTGGTGTTTTTAGGGGGAGATATAGGGAGTTAAGGAAATGAAATGTTAGATTACTATATAAGCTAATAACCTTTCTAAGAAGACACTGTAAGTGTGCATAGCAGATGCTTAGGTAAACCTTAGAAGTATCTAGAATGTAGGAGCCAAATAAAATTGAGTTGGCAAATAAAAACATGGAGAAAGTTATCCATATTTTTGTCTTCTGAAGCCACAGTGATTTTATATTATCATAATACCAGGGAAATGTTTGTTTGTGTGATAGAAACCATAGTAAATCAGGTGTATTTTTAAAAAAATAGATTTTATTGATTTTTCACAGAGAGGAAGAGAGAGGGATAGAGAGTTAGAAATATCGATGAGAGTTATCGATCAGCTGCCTCTTGCACGCCCCCTACCAGGGATATGCCCACAACGAAGGTACATGCCCTTGCCCGGAATCGAACCCGGGACCTTTCTGTCCGCAGGCTCTATCCACTGAGCCAAACTGGTCCCGGCTAAATCAGGTGTAATTTTTTTTGAGAAACGAACATCAGTGTTTTTAAACTTTCTGTATTATCAGCTAATGTTATCAAAGTAAATCAAGTTTATGATATCATAAAGTGTTAAATTTAGAATTTTGGAGGTTTCAGTATATGCCCCAGGGGTAGGAGATTATTTATTGACTTCTCAAAGCCACTGTTTTAAGGGCTGTTTGAAACAAACTTCATGTATCTTGGTAACCCAGAGTTAACGAATAGCACAAGTACATAAATATTCTCAGATGACTTCTGTCCTGTTGTATACTCTGGAGGGAATCCTAGTTTAAGATTATATAAGTAATAGGAATGGCACAGTCTACCTTTCTTTTTAAAAAGTTATTTATTTTTTTGTTAATCTTCACCCAAGGATATCCCCCCCCCTTTTTTTTTTTTTTTTTTTTTTAGAAAATGCAAGAGAGAGGGAAAGACAAAGAAATATTGATGTGAGAGAGTCACCTTGATTGGTTGCCTCCTGCACGAGGC